TCGTTTCAACTATGTGAACAGGGGCAACCACCAATTCAATTATGTATTTTAAAATCAGAAGAACCTGCCAGGTAGAATCATCCTCAGGTACCCGTGAACCAACAATGAGTGGCAACAACCGTATTAGAGCCCAATTTTAATGGGCATTTCCACCTACAGTTCTGCGATGAATGTAGTTTTGAGGGATTGCTTGAGAGCTGTTGGCTTTGTCCGAGTCATTATATGGTAAACGTGTGATTAACTCGTTAAGCTCAGTCAAACTGAAGTACTTCTTCTTGGTGAAAATCTGAAAACACAATGCTAGTTCACTTGGGAATATGCCTTCCACAAGGTCATGTAGTACATCTGGTGGGTACCCAAACTCGAAATGAAAGTGATTTAATTTATCAGTCAATGGACACGACCGCTTTCCGCCAAAGCAATGCGTAACATTTGGATTTTCTCTCACAGTTTGCACATGCAAACTATGTTCCTTCTTTGTCCGAGGTGGAAACACTCCGATTCACACTTCGTGTGTCTGGTACTCTGAAGAATGTCCAAGACAAAATCTACAGATGTACGGCCCCGTGAAACTTTCAACTAGTCCACTGATCGAATGTGCACCGAGATTGTCAGCTACAATACAATGTACAGTCCCTTTAATGTGTTTTCCAACACTGGAAATGAAAATCCCTTCCTGTTCTAGAATGACAAGATCCTTCAAGAGTGGTTCCAAAACTGCTCTGTATTCAAACTGTTTAACATCAACAGCTTTGCAAAGTAAAGCTAGGTGTATTGATGTTAATGCAGATTGCAACTTGGTTGGAACATTTGCCAAACCCCAATAAACAGCTGTTATTTTGTGTTTTTTTCTCGAAATTCCTAGTGGGTTACACACCTCAAAGTCGTCAACGTAAAGGATTATAGACAGTCTTGTTTCTTCCCCAGCCTAAAAGTCATTTTGCTTGAAGGATTTTCCATCAAGAATTGACTTAATATATCCAGTACTATTTGATTTTATGGATAAGATTCTTTCTGCAATGTCTTTATTCTTCAAGACTTCTGGAAAAGTCTGGAGAATATGCACATATTGAAAGGTCTTGTTCTTTTCAGTATCAATAATATATTCAACGCTATCAACACACTGGAAATGCACCTTTAAAATACTTTCTTCCTTTAAAAGCTGAACCAAGTGGACCACCTGCTCCAAGTGCTGTACTAATGGGATGGAAGTTGCACAACTGCTCTGACAATTCAGTTACGATGGCCTGGTCAACAATGCATTTATTCACCTTCAATGTTGAATCTAGTATGTTTCTAACAACTGCAACTGAAGATTAAATGAACTGAAGGTCTTCAACCAAGGCATCAATGCACTTCACTGAGACATTATAAATGGTTTCTAGCTTCAGCAGAAGTAAGCCAATTCTTTGAAGAACTAAGTATGATGCACTTTCCTGATCACAATCTAAACTAGTGCCCTCACCATCACTGGCCTCTGGTAAATCAGAATGGTCAACAGTCTGATTATGGCGACTCTCATACACGTCTTTCTTAAACTCACTCAAAGAATAGGATTTGTGTCTTTTGCTTGTGTTTTAGAAATGTATTGTATATATTTGTCTGAAAGTTGCATCTTTCAAATACACAAAAGACAGTTTCCTGGCTCTTCAGATGATTTCCAATATGCTGAAAGTAGTCCTTCTCTATAGAACAACAAGCATTGCAAACTAAACACTTAAAAGCAGAGATGTTTCCTGACTGTAGACTTTCTTCAGCTGAATGGTATCTGGACAAATGTGTGCGAAGGGCACTCTGCGTTTGAAATATGCAAGGGCAACTGTCATATAGGCATGGCTAAGGTTGCCCACGACCAAATGTTGCGTGTTGTAGTCTGTAATGCTTTAGTAGATTTCCCTTTGTGGCAGACAAAGACTTACAGATCTTACACTTCCATTCCATAAGCAAAAACCTGAGGCAGAAAAAAGGTCCATGTATCAGATGCCAGGCCACCAGGTCTCTAATCACATGAGGACAATAGGATCACATTAACAAAATAATTCCTTATTATTTTAAATTTTCTAATTTTCATGCTCAAATCAACTTCTTGTCACTCACATCAGCTAGCTGATGTGAGTGACAAGTAACTACACAACAAGAACAAGCTAGCCACAACGTAAAGGTGACGTTAACTGACTGGTGGCAAGCTAGCTAACGTTAGCATACTGTACGTACATCAACACCAAGATATAATATACTAGAGGTGTAACGGCAGGTACAGGACTTTTGGTTTGGTACGCGCTGTGATCCGAATGAATATAGTCTAGTTTTAATCACGCACGTTACTTTTTCGTGTGCGGAACAAAAATTATAGTCTCATGCTTTTAGTCGAATCAGACTGACTTCGAAAGGCCTAACATTGTGCTAGTTAATTCTGATATACGTTACAGCCAGTTAAATTGGCATGCTGGTAACTTGCAGAAACGTAAAACAATGTTCAACTGCTACCACAACTTTGTTAAAAAATTGTTCGCTAAAATAACATATCTTACCTTTGGGAGAACGGCAGTCCCTGAAACGTGTCTGTGGATGAAAATGGTTGATATGCACGTGGCGCGAAAAAAATGCCTTGAGTTGGGGCGGAAGTGTAACGTAATAAAATTCAAAAACCTCTCGATTAGTAAAATTTTTCTATTTTTTGCATCTTTGACTATCCTGATAAAATACAATCAAATTCTACTTAGTTATTGATGGCTGATTTTATTCGAACAAAACTGAGTAAAATACAATAAATAAATAATAGAAATGTGTTGAATTCAGCTCAATGTGATTCCAAACTACACATAGTCTTTATTTTTATGTATAGGCTACTCTTATATATTTACTAAACATTAATTAACCCCAGTCTCGGTTTTTACAGTGCAGCCCAGCAGCTAGCGGCTGACCACGAGCGTGCTGACTGTGGAGTCCCGAGCACCCCCCAGCATGGATCGAACACGCTGCACAGACAAGAGTGCGAAGGAGCAGCGAGCAGCAGGGCCGCGAGCGCACTACACTTGTGGACCCAGCCTGTCGTTCTATTACACATCGTTGTGGGACTTGAGGAGTGTTCAGAAAGAAGAATTAAAAAGAAACATTAACTGTACATTCACTCTACTTTATACAGGTTCTGGGCCCAGAAGAATCTCAGCTTGCATGCCTCACACACCATTCAAAAGAATTGTGTATGGTCGCGTTACCATAAGACAGCCTATTGTTTTAGTTTAATAACGTGATTGTGAGATCAGATCGTTGACGTTTTATAACTATTTGATACGCATTTGATGAGAACGCATTTTGTGTGAATATTGCCATTTTGAGCTGTTGACTATTGTACTAGGTTAACCACGTGATCGCAAGATTTGACTATCGATGCTTTAATTGATCAACCATTACAGATTGATGAGTACGTATATTTGCGTAGTGAGTTCTAGCAACGTCGGAGACGGATCTTTGGAGGCGACACTTTATTCAATACAATACTCGGCAGTACAGTCCCAGTCTCACATAGGGCAACGGCCCCTCTGCCTCCTGGCTAAAGGTGCTACAGGTGGCCTAAGGGAGGCTACACTAACCCGACCTAGTCAGGGTGCGGGTTCCGACCACTGGCCCACTCGGACCCGGCCCTTACAAGGACGTCGGGTCGGGGGTTCCCAGGGTCTCACCACTGAGCCCCACAGAGTCCCGGCCCTTACAAGGGCAGCGGGGCTAGGGGTCCCACCGTCCCAGGTTACTAGCTAGCTGGACTTCTGGCTTCTGTCTTGGGCTGGCCCTGGATCCTTCCCGGGGTCCGGCTTTTATACCCAGCACTCATGCGTCAGCCCTAGCTCCGCCCACCTTCCAGAGAGTTCCAGAGGGGGCTCCGGGGGATCCTGGAACACCCCGCAGCCCCCTCCTGCTTTTGGGCTAAAGATATAACGACGGCCCCTGCTGGACCCTGACTGCCCCTGCAGGTAAGTGTACACAGCCCATCGACATCGCTACATTTGCATGGGCACTGTTGTTGGAATTCTGATGATAGGATTTGGTGGATGTTAGGGCAAGTTGAGATTAAAGTTGCTTAGATTAAAAACAGGTTTCCGAGTGCTACTTTCCTAAACTCGTGCATCATTGTCGTAATAAAGAACTGTATCCTGCGGTGAGATCTGAACCCCGAGACTTGACATCATTGCACACAAAATTGTTAAAGCGAGATTTATAAATGTTATCGCGAGTGGTTAAACATACCCATAGACAACGAGATAACACGCGCATAATCACACATACATCACAATCATGAACACTCACACACCTTAATCATTAATGTTTAACACACACATTCTTAATTACACTTAACAAACATTTTTAGTTAATCACACTTAATAAAATACATACAAATATTTTAGATAAATGTCATTTGTTTTTTATTATTTTATTATTTGATCATATTTAATTTTTACATGCAATATTTGTTTTAATCACACAATATATACAACAACAAAAACTCATAATATACAGTAGCAGGCATGGCCAGGGTCGCGATTGAACCCACGGCCTCCTGCATATCAGGTGAGGGAGTTAACATCCCGCCACCGCGACTATCCCAAACCAATGCTGGTCGACGGCCTCGGAGATTCATGCCGTTCACGGGGGGGGGGGGGGGGTCGTTTGACCATACTTCCCCACGGCCGACAGAATGAGACGGTGCAAGAGGGCCCCCGGCTTGCGTGGGCTTGATCAGGATATCACTTTCCACGTGCACTAAGCATAGCCGGGAATCGTACGCAGGTTTTCCGGGGTGTGTAGGGCAAGGTGCGCTAACTCACTACGTCAACGCCTCTAGCCCACATTCCTGAAATACCATTCAAATGGCCTAACCCTACGCATATATCCGCATCTGTGTACGTTCCCGCATGTTTGACATTTCAAATTTGGCCTATCCCCAGATTCTACCTGTCAACCTAAATAAAGGTTCATATTTGACCATTTTGATCATTTTAACTTTTTTACAAGGTGCAGCACCCGCCCACTCATTAAATGAATCCTATATATATGCGCACACATACACCGTGTGACTGTCCACTGACTTCGCTTGAAGATCGATCATCACGCCTGGTCAAAGATTTTCATCTCTTTTCTTAACAATCTTCAAAGTTGGTAAGTGCAACACCGTGCTGTTGCGATGTCTGTCGCATATCACTAAATCGTAATTGGGCATTGCCACTCCTGCTTCCAAATGAAGGTACGCCAAGGCACTTTTGTGACTTAAGCTGGCAGACACTTTTTGTTTTTTTCCAGGAGGGGTTCCTTCCAGGTTTATTTTTTTCTGGACAATGCTATCGTTTCTGTCGATTGCTCCAAGAAAAAATTCAAATAGTTACTTTAACAAATAATAGCCATACTATGTAGGGGAGTTGATTCTTTTATAATTTGTTTGTTGTTGGGAAATATAACCGTTAATAAAAAATATATAGAGTGATGGTAGTCACAAAACCTCAGTATTTTCTGTAATAAAGTATTTCATTTTGGGTTATTTCGCTTCAAAATATAAATGTAGCTATAAATCAGCCACCGCCACCACCTGACACAGACAATATTAGTCAGGGGTTTGTGTCACGTAACACAAAACGTGAACAATTAGTATACTAGTTCAGCACTAACCAGTTGTTTTGTGTCAGAGAGTTAAACCTACGACTACGCTCACGATTATTTTGTGCAAAACGTACGATACCTCTGATCCTGCATATCAGCCAGGAAATCACTTCGGTTGACTTTTAATGGCTTTTTCTTCCTTCTTAATACGTCCGCTGAATATTTGTCGTAAGTTTGCACGGCGTTTAGCGACTGCGTGGGAAAGATGTCTATCCCTGCGCATAGCATCAAAATATGTTCAGGAGTTGAACGCCAAAGCCGAGTTGTGCTTAGCCACAGGAGAGCTCACAGGAGAGAGTTTGTGTGGTTGTGCGATTTCTACATTCACACGAGCGCAGACTACACTAGTTTACTATGTGAGACCGCGGTGGCTAGGGAGATGTTAACTACCTCGCCTGGTATACAGGAGGTCGTTGGTTCGATCCCGACCCTGATGATGCCTGTTTCTTGGAGTTTCCGTGTCTCTCTCTGTCTCCGTGGTGGTCGCATGGATTTTTCTTCGGGACCACCGGTTATTTTCCCCTCGACATAAAAAAAAACATGCATTTATAGTATTTGGCTGTTGCTGAGCTATATAGCTCATTTTCAAAAGCAACCTGGCCACAAATGATAGCTCAAGGAAGAGGCTTATCACGTAACACAAAACTTGTACAATTAGTTTACTAGTTCAGCACTAACAGGTTGTTTTGTGTCGGAGAGTTAAACGACTACGTTCACGATTATTTCGTGCAAAACGTACCCAGTAACGGACGTTTTTAAATTTGGAGAGAAAATAACTGGAGGACCCGGAGAAAAATTTACATGACCACAAAATAGAGAGAGAGACGCGCAAAATCTGTATACACAACAGGCGTCGTTGTCGGGATCGAACCCACGACCTCCTGTATACCACGCAATGGAGTTAACATCTGGCCAGTTATGATGTGTATGAGTTTCCGGACCAGAATGGAACGCGGTGCCTCTCACACCTAATTCACAACCACAACTCCGCTTTAATATTTAAAATTACTATAATTTTTAAGTTTTAATTCCCTCTCATTGTCGTATCATCATCATCATCATGATCCATGGACAGATATCCCTGTAGGTTTAAACTGCACATTTCATCATTTGTTTCCACTTTCCTTTGTCTTGTGCCTAACTGTTCAATTAATAGGTACATCTTTCTGGCACCAATCTCTAAATAGTCACCGTCAAGTCAATGTGTGTTAGGTCTTCCTCCCGTTACCGGTTCTTTCCATTTTTCTGAGCACACTTTCCACTATCTTGTTCTTGTCCATCCTTGTACATGTGGTGCCCAAATAGTACCCAGTTTCCCTCTCATCACTGCCTGCATCATCATCATCCTCAAGTTTATATAATTACGAAATCTAACACAAAAAATCTATATTATGGATATTGGTCGCGAAAGCCTACGTGTTAAACTTCTTGAACTTCCTTACTTGTGCCTTACAGCAAGAAGGGGTCTAACTCCAATTCTCCACTGGCACGCCTTTCAGTGTATAGAGTCGTGTACGTTCTCCCGTTTTATCAGAGTGAGTGAATGTGTGAGAGTGAATGAGTGTGTGTGATTGTGTGGAGAGTGGTAGCGGAGCGATTAGCGATACACTGCACTGTCAACCCGGCAGAGTTCGATACCCGCTCACGGCCACAAACACCAGGGGCGAAATTAACCGACTCAAGGCCTCCCCTAGGTCGACTCGGCCCCAAATGAGTATCTGATCCAATGTGTAGTAAACCTCGCAGCAGGAGCAGCAGCAGCTTTCCGTGAAACGTCAAACAAAGACGGTGGTCTCCGCATCATCGCACGACGCTTTCAGATGCTCTTCTGTGCGCCTATCCGGAACACTGCTCTTCATTTAAAAGGAGATATTGACAAACTTAATCCTTTAAAACTGCTTGTATTTATTTTGTTGTTCTTCCCCCCCACACCTCTGATAAGCAACGGATGGCTACCTACGGTGTGAAAGAAGTTCAACACATACATACAACAATTTACTACACTATATACTACATTAATATATACTACACTACTATACACTATATTATACACAACACTACGATACACTAAACTATACATAACACTACTTGCCACTACACTACTATACACAACACTAGTGTTTAACCTGTAGGCTTTCGCGACCAATATTACCCATAATAGAGGTTTTTGGGTTAGAGTGCGTAAATATATAAATGTGTCGTGAAACCCGTCACCAGCCAATTAGTAAGGTTTGTCACGTAAACAAAACATACCAATTCGTTACTAGTTCAGCACATCGGTGTACTGGAGAGTGAACCCACCTACTGCAACATCTACAATTCCAGTATTGTGACGAACAAAATAAATTCAAGCAGTTTTAAAGAAATTAGTTTGTCAATCTATCCTTTAAAAGGAAGCGCTGTGTTCCAGATGGGCACGCAGGAGAGCATCTGAAAGCCGTTATCTTAGTGTGGTCTGGGACTCTTTAACGTTGTTATTTTTTTGCTGCCTTGCCCAAGCTCCGATAAAATCGAGCTCATGTATTGAATGTATTTATTATATTTAGATTTAGTGACTCGCTTATTGGCATTTTCTCTATTTTGCACTCCCGTCACGTTTTTGCATTGTGTGCTCGTGTAACTTGCTGACCCGCCCATACTGGACATGTGTAAGTAAAAAAAAGAGAGCTTCATAGCTAATCGGATTCCTCCAGTCTAAATATAGATTCTAATTTTATCGCTAAAACAACGTGAAATGTCGGTGGCTAGGGAGATGTTAACTCCCTCGCCGGGTATACAGGAAGTCGTAGATTCAATCCCGACCCTGACAATACCTGCTGCAGTATATTTAGAGTTTGCATGTCTCTCTCCTCGTGGCCGCATTGAATTTTCTCCGGGTCCTCCGAATTTTCGCCTCCATGTTTAGAATCAGCATCACCATCCATTTAGAGTATTTGGCTGCCGCTATAAATTTCCTTGTGATGATGAAATCAGCCACTTTCGTTGAACTATCATTTGTGATCTCCAGGGTCGCTTCTGACAAAGAGCTCAGTGGGGCTTACACCTGGTAAAATAAAAAGTACTTTTCTTTTTACTTTACATCGTGATCCGTAGACTCTCAGAAACCCATAGATTCAAACAGAGACCCACGCTCGCACGCAGGAGAAACCCTGCAGACTCGCACGGATTTTGTTTCCCATAGCGAAATCTCAAGGGATTACAAAATTTGACTCGCGACGAAAGTGAAAACCCGCCTGACCTCTTGTTTTTTTTATAATCCCAGGGCCGTGGTGGACAAAATGGACGGTGCCTTGGGTCGTTTGCTGGTGACAGTCTGCGTCCTGCTCACAATGCCCGGGAGAGGAGGTGAACGGCTGTTGTTGTATCTCGGGACCTTTTTTTGCCAGTAATCAAAGTATGAAAAATAAGAATCGGTTTCAAACGAAATAGCGTATATCATCAGTGCCATGTTTGTTTACATGTTCGCTACAAATACAATGTGTGGTTAATGCAGCACTTGATTTCTTGCAACAGGTATCAACTAATTGGTGCTTGAACATCTTAACAGCTTTTTTTTGTTGTATTCAGGCATTTACATTTGCGATGAACAGAGGGAGGGGGGCGTGGGTTATTATGGAGCGCTCTCACCAGTAACATCTGGTGAATACCGATAGATATGGAGAGGCTCAGTGACTTTGGAAGATTGCACGCCGGGCAGGGCGCGTGTTGCTTGTGTAGTGAGTCACTTCTGAGACACTAATAGTAGGAGGCAACACACGTTTATTCTACACTTTAAGACACTGTTCACACATGGGATAACTACAAACGGGTCATAGCAGCCGGCACGCTGTCTGACCCACGACGCCGGAGACGAAGACGAACACGTAGCACGTTGGGTTCCATTACACTGACAGACAGCCATCATCCAGCCCCGGGACTTCCCTTTTATGCCGCCCGGCGTGGCCTGGCTCCGCCCTCGGCCACGCCCCCTTCTGGAACCTACCAGAAGGTTCTGGGCTATACTCCACGTGTCCCCTTAGTCACCTTTGCCACACATCCCTTACCCCGGCCTATCACATGCCTCGCACCCGAGTGACCCACTCCGTGGCATTGCATGCTCTGCTGGCAGGTCGGCTGCTATGCCCAAATTTCCTCTCTCTGTCAGTAACCAGCGCTACGTGCCGTAGTGACCCATTCTATGTCACTACACTGGCATTAAAAATCGAGATGCTGCTCAATCCCAGAAATTGGGAGGTTATGCCGGTTGGCACTCTCGGGCTCGGTCAAAAAAAATTGTGGGAGGATCGGGCGTGGCGGTAGCAGGATTCAGTTTTCTACTCACCTTCCCCTGTAGCCCTCCCCATCATTCATAATCAACGTTTTTGGGTTTAGATCGCGTTATTTATAAATGTGTCGTAACCCTCCACCACCCGACACGGCCAATCAGTAAAAAAGTGTCACGTTGACAAAAGACAAATAGTTCACTGCTTTAGTCCAAATAGTTCACTGCTTTAGCCCACCGGTGTGTTGAAGCGTGAAACCACAACATTTACAATTTGAGTACGACGTTTCGCTGGTAATTTCCTGATGATGCTGGATGCAATTACCAGCAAAACGTCGTACTCAAATTGTAAATGTTGTGGTTTCACGCTTCAACACACCGGTGGGCTAAAGCAGTGAACTATTTGTCTTTTGTCAACGTGACACTTTTTTACTGATTGTCCGTGTCGTGTGGTGGAGGGTTACGACACATTTATAAATAACGCGATCTAAACCCAAAAACGTTGATTGTGAATAATATTGGTCGCGAAAGCCTCACACGTGTTAAACTGCCTCCCCATCATGTTACCCACCGTATTTCCCCCCTCTTTTAACCTCTCTTCATCTTGCTTCTTTAGTTCCTCATCTTTCCTTCTTCTTCCTAAAATTATTTTTTTATTTAATTGTTTTATTATTTTCACGGCGTCCCCTTCATCCTGGTCACCCGTGCTCTCCACCGCCATCGCCTTCCGGGCCCAACCCCACCAGGCGCACCGACCCCTCCCGTCTCTCAGCTGGCACTCTGTGCTCCATACTCCATCCCAGGATCACGACTTGGCTCCCGCAGGCTCCACTCCCTGTTGGCGTTCTATGTTGCCCACTCAATCCCAGCTCGTGCTTTCCACCCACGGCGTCCGGGCCATCTCGGCAGTTTGCAGCACGCCCCGCCCGCCGCCTCTTTCGGTGGTCACTGGCGAGTGTCTGCAGGGGGCTACACTGTGCGTGTGACCATGGCCGGGCACTGCTGTTCACTGCTGTGCCCGGCCGTCTTTGTCTCCCCGGAGAGATTGCCGGTATGTGGTCTGATCCTCACAAAAGGTGCTCACTGGTGACTAGCCCTCGGCAAGGTAAGGTAAAAGTTAAACGATTTCTACAACACATTCGAGCACTATTGAGTCATGACATAACCAACATATGGTGGCGTGTAAAGCATAGCTGGACAAGGCTCAATTATTGCAACTCGTTACTCTACGGGACGTCTCCCAAAAACATAAACAAGCTGCCATGTTTACAAAATTCTCTGGCACGTGTGGTGAGGGATACTGCAAGATCCGACTTTTGTGTCCGTCCAGTGCTCGCCGAACTGCATTGGCCTCCAGTTGCCGAATGAATACATTACTAGGTCGCACTCATTACACACACAGTGCTTGCCACAAATGAATCACAATACCTTGCTGATATTTTGTGAGTGTGTGTGCCCGCACACACACACACACTCATTCCCAGCGTGAGGCTGTGACTCATTGCATCACGCAGAGGATCGAGCCGCTGAACAAAATAGATTCGCGGTTCAGTTACCAAGTTCGACTTCGCGTTAGAAGTCGATGCAACAACAAAAATATTGTGGAAGCTGCTTCGTAAGTAAGGATGTTCGTAAGTGTGTATGTTCGTACGTGCGGGTGTTCATACGTCGATGAATGACTGTACTATATAGCCTAAACACGTGTTTGATAAAGCAGAACTGACCAAGGTTTTCCTGCAATTTTAAACTCCAGTCTTTTGACTTTCAAGATATATTTACAGGTGCAGCAGCTCTGCAGAGTCTTGCTTTCGTCACTTCTGGTGGAACGAGACTCCACTTGAGGGAGCTATTGGGAGCTCCTCGAGATTGGAGGGTGTTTGTTTTACTCTCTCACATTGAATAATTGATTTGGACGGATAAATGTGCATGTAAAAATCTTTCCCCTCCTCTCTGCTACATACGACTTGTTATTTGCCTAACTGTCATGGACCCGTTTTTACTGACATGCTTGTTCATGAGCTGATTTGTTTGCTGGGAAACTGTTGTTCTTTATTTTATTGATTTGTCATTTTACTTACCCCGAGTACTCTTGCAAATAATACAACTTTAATCTCTCGAGCTCTCATTGGTTACATAAAATACACTTGATTATAATGGCCTCGGTGCAGGAAGAATGAACCGAACTGGCGACCTCTGGGATTGCAAGCCCACTGTACCAACCATTATGCCATATTATCATCCCCTACGTAAAAACAAAAAGCGCTCACACTGTTTATGTTTTAATTTCCACAGCTGCTCTCTCGTGCTATTATGGGAGCAATGATTTTGGAGTTCAAGAAACATCCATTACTTGCGCAACAGAATTGGATGCTTGTACTATTTTTAAATTCACAAGTAAGTTTACATTTCTAAACACCTTAACAGAGACAACCGCACATTTCATCAACAACCGTTGTCAATCCACCGCTGGATGAAGGCCTCTCTACACCCGTCGCCCATCTCTGGTGATTCCAGAATGCAACAATCCACCGAGCGCCTGCAGACACTCAGATCTCGTCGTTCCACTCGATGAACGAGTTCTATCCCTTGGCTGCCACTGCATTGTCCTCGACCATCGCCCATCACTCGTTTCGAGTATTAACGTGTCCTGGCCAAGTCCACTTGCTTCTCCAAGTAAAGAATTACTCCTAGAAAGTGCGCATTGAAGTGTCAAGAGATGCATTGCTTGTAATGGCTCAGAAAGACAGAAAGAGGTACGTGTGTGGATTAGAGAACAGACTGCAGGTTAGAGACATGAGGACACAAGTGGCCTTAAGCAGCAACAGAGACGCTGGGCGGTAGTCGAGAAAAACAGAGCAGCAGCCAAGGAACGAACTTGTCTGTGAGGGCGTCCACAAAAGAGACGGAACGATAAAATCAGCTCACGTGCAGGGTGGATTGTTGCATCACACGACCGTGAGAGGTGGCGGTGTTTTGATGAAGCCTTCGTCCAGCAATAGATAGACCGTCGCGGATGACGAAAAGAGACTAACTTAAATGTCTCTTTTTACTCTATATTAGCTGCCACTAAAACGGGCACCGTATACGCGTGCACCAGTCAACAGAACTGCCAGAACCCAATCACCCACAAGACGACTCTGGAAAGTGCAATGCAGACCAGCGGTGTCACCGGAACAGCCGGAAACATCGTCTGCTGCACAGTGAACAACTGCAATCGGCAAACTATAGGTGAGCAAAACATTCCATTTACAAGAGGACTTCATGGAAATGCGGAGGTTCTGTGCATGTGCGCACACAAACACACACACACCCACTCCGAGTTGGGGGGCTGTGATTCATTGCATCTCGCAGAGGATCGATCACCTGAACAAAATAGATCCGCGGTTCAGTTACCAAGTTCGACTTTGCATTAGGAGTCGATGTAACCATGAAAAATCTTATGAAAGCTGGTTAGTAAATGCGGATGTTTGTAAATGCGGGTGTTCATTAGTCGACGAATGACTGTACTATATAGCTGAAACGCATGTTCGATAACGCAGCATTGGCCAAGGTTTCCTGCAATTTGACTTTCAAGAAATATTTACAGGTGCAGCACCTCTGCAGTGTCTTGCTTTCGTCACTGCTGGTGGAACAAGACTCCATTTGAGGGAGCTCTTGGGAGCCCCTCGAGATTGGAGGGTGTTTGTTTTATTCTCTCACATTGAATAATTGATTTGGACGAATAAATGTGCGTGTACAAATCGTACCCCTCCTCTCTGCTACATGCGACTTGTTATTTGCCTAACTGTTATGGACCCGTTTTTACTGACATGCTTGTTCTTGAGCTGATTTATGTTTGCTGGGAAGCTGCTGTACTTTATTTGATTGATTTGCCTTTTTAGTTACCCCAAGTACTCTTGCAAATAATACAACTTAGCTATCTCGAGTTCTCATTGGTTAGACAAAATACACTTGATTATAGAGGCGTCGGTGCAGGGAGAATGAATCTAACTGGCGACCTCTGTGCAAGTCCACTATACCAACCATTATGCCATAGCATTATCCTCTACGTAAAAATTAAAAGCGCTCACACTGTTTATGTTTTAATTTCTACAGCTGCTAACTCGTGCTATTATGGGAGCAATGATTTTGGAGTTCAAGAAACATCAACGACTTGCGCAACAGGATTGGATGCTTGTGTTACTTTTAAATTCACAAGTAAGTTTACATTTCCAAACGTTGTAACAGAGACAACCGTACATTTCATCAACAACCGTTGTCAATCCAGTGTTGCATGAAGGCCTCTCTCCACCGGTCGCCCATCTCTGGTGATTCCACAATGCAACAATCCACCGAGCGCCTGCAGAACTCAAATCTCGTCGCTCCACTCGATGAACGCGTTACATCCCTTGGCTGCCACTCCATTGTCCTCGACCATCGCTCCTTTCTAGCCATAACGTGTTCTGGCCAAGTCCACTTGCTTTTCCAAGTAAAGAATTACAACTAGAAAGTGCGAATTGAAGCGTCGAGAGATGCATTGCTTGTGTAGTGTGTATCTGACGAGGCACATGCTGAAGTCTGTAGTCACCACAATTTATTAGCACTTTAACAGGCTTACAAGTTCACCATACTCGGGGCTATTCTAGACCCCAAAAAGGGAGAGGGGGTCCCTGTCTTACTGAGTCCCTACGGCCGACGTTCTTCAGCTTCCCCCAACGCGCCCACACACGGACAGCTCTCCCGCTAGACAACCACGATCGCTCGGCCTCTGTCCTTCATATCCTCCTCGAGCGTGGCCTCGCTCCGCCTCTCGCCATGCCCGTTCCTCGGTCTCTTGCGACGGAACCGGAGCCAGTGTCACATGGCCCCCCCAGGGCCCCCGTTTCCGGGCCCCCTTCACCACTCTGTGTCGGCACGTCCTCTCTCTCCGACGGGACCCCGCTTCGTGGACCCGCTTCTCCGATGCATTCCCGTCGGCCCCCATCGACAGGTAAGTGCGCATTCACTCACCATTTGTGGTAGTAGTCAGCTTATACGCCTCAGAGAAACTATTTACGTCGCTACACTTGTAATTGCTCCGAAAGATAGAGAGAGCTACATGTGTGGATTAGAGAACAGACTGCAGGATAGGGACATGAGGACACAAGTGGCCTTAAGCAGCAACAAAGACGCAGGGCGGTGGTCGAGAAAAAACCGAGTGGCAGCCAAGGAACGAACTTGTCTGTGAGGACATTCACAGAGGAGATGGAGCGATAAAATCTGCACACGTGCAGGGTGGATTGTTGCATCACACGACCGTGAGAGGTGGCAGTGCTTTGATGAAGCCTTCGTCCAGCAATAGATAGACCTTCGCGGATGACGAAAACAGATTAACTTAAAACGTCTCTTTTTACTCTATTTTAGCTGCCACTAAAACGGGCACCGTATACGCGTGCACCAGTCAACAGAACTGCCAGAACCCAATCACCCACAAGACGACTCTGGAAAGTGCAATGCAGACCAGCGGTGTCACCGGAACAGCCGGAAACATCGTCTGCTGCACAGTGAACAACTGCAATCGGCAAACTATAGGTGAGCAAAACATTCCATTTACAAGAGGACTTCATGGAAATGCGGAGGTTCTGTGCATGTGCGCACACAAACACACACACACCCACTCCGAGTTGGGGGGCTGTGATTCATTGCATCTCGCAGAGGATCGATCACCTGAACAAAATAGATCCGCGGTTCAGTTACCAAGTTCGACTTTGCATTAGGAGTCGATGTAACCATGAAAAATCTTATGAAAGCTGGTTAGTAAATGCGGATGTTTGTAAATGCGGGTGTTCATTAGTCGACGAATGACTGTACTATATAGCTGAAACGCATGTTCGATAACGCAGCATTGGCCAAGGTTTCCTGCAATTTGACTTTCAAGAAATATTTACAGGTGCAGCACCTCTGCAGTGTCTTGCTTTCGTCACTGCTGGTGGAACAAGACTCCATTTGAGGGAGCTCTTGGGAGCCCCTCGAGATTGGAGGGTGTTTGTTTTATTCTCTCACATTGAATAATTGATTTGGACGAATAAATGTGCGTGTACAAATCGTACCCCTCCTCTCTGCTACATACGACTTGTTATTTGCCTAACTGTCATGGACCCGTTTTTACTGACATGCTTGTTCTTGAGCTGATTTGTTTGCTGGGAAACTGTTGTTCTTTATTTTATTGATTTGTCATTTTACTTACCCCAAGTACTCTTGCAAATAATACAACTTAGCTATTTCGAGTTCTCATTGGTTAGACAAAATACACTTGATTATAGAGGCGTCGGTGCAGGGAGAATGAATCTAACTGGCGACCTCTGTGCAAGTCCACTATACCAACCATTATGCCATAGCATTATCCTCTACGTAAAAATTAAAAGCGCTCACACTGTTTATGTTTTAATTTCTACAGCTGCTAACTCGTGCTATTATGGGAGCAATGATTTTGGAGTTCAAGAAACATCAACGACTTGCGCAACAGGATTGGATGCTTGTGTTACTTTTAAATTCACAAGTAAGTTTACATTTCCAAACGTTGTAACAGAGACAACCGTACATTTCATCAACAACCGTTGTCAATCCAGTGTTGCATGAAGGCCTCTCTCCACCGGTCGCCCATCTCTGGTGATTCCACAATGCAACAATCCACCGAGCGCCTGCAGAACTCAAATCTCGTCGCTCCACTCGATGAACGCGTTACATCCCTTGGCTGCCACTCCATTGTCCTCGACCATCGCTCCTTTCTAGCCATAACGTGTTCTGGCCAAGTCCACTTGCTTTTCCAAGTAAAGAATTACAACTAGAAAGTGCGAATTGAAGCGTCGAGAGATGCATTGCTTGTGTAGTGTGTATCTGACGAGGCACATGCTGAAGTCTGTAGTCACCACAATTTATTAGCACTTTAACAGGCTTACAAGTTCACCATACTCGGGGCTATTCTAGACCCCAAAAAGGGAGAGGGGGTCCCTGTCTTACTGAGTCCCTACGGCCGACGTTCTTCAGCTTCCCCCAACGCGCCCACACACGGACAGCTCTCCCGCTAGACAACCACGATCGCTCGGCCTCTGTCCTTCATATCCTCCTCGAGCGTGGCCTCGCTCCGCCTCTCGCCATGCCCGTTCCTCGGTCTCTTGCGACGGAACCGGAGCCAGTGTCACATGGCCCCCCCAGGGCCCCCGTTTCCGGGCCCCCTTCACCACTCTGTGTCGGCACGTCCTCTCTCTCCGACGGGACCCCGCTTCGTGGACCCGCTTCTCCGATGCATTCCCGTCGGCCCCCATCGACAGGTAAGTGCGCATTCACTCACCATTTGTGGTAGTAGTCAGCTTATACGCCTCAGAGAAACTATTTACGTCGCTACACTTGTAATTGCTCCGAAAGATAGAGAGAGCTACATGTGTGGATTAGAGAACAGACTGCAGGATAGGGACATGAGGACACAAGTGGCCTTAAGCAGCAACAAAGACGCAGGGCGGTGGTCGAGAAAAAACCGAGTGGCAGCCAAGGAACGAACTTGTCTGTGAGGACATTCACAGAGGAGATGGAGCGATAAAATCTGCACACGTGCAGGGTGGATTGTTGCATCACACGACCGTGAGAGGTGGCAGTGCTTTGATGAAGCCTTCGTCCAGCAATAGATAGACCTTCGCGGATGACGAAAACAGATTAACTTAAAACGTCTCTTTTTACTCTATTTTAGCTGCCACTAAAACGGGCACCGTATACGCGTGCACCAGTCAACAGAACTGCCAGAACCCAATCACCCACAAGACGACTCTGGAAAGTGCAATGCAGGCCTCCGGTTTTACCGGAACAGCCGGAAACATCGTCTGCTGCACAGTGAACAACTGCAATCGGCAAACTTCAGGTGAGCAAAACATTCCATTTACAAGAGGACTTCATGGAAATGCGGAGGTTCTGTGCATGTGCGCACGCAAACACACGCACACTCACTCCGAGTGGGGTGGGGGGGGCTGTGATTCATTGCATCTCGCAGAGGATCGATCCACTGAACAAAATATATCCGCGGTTAAGTTACCAAGTTCGACATTGCATTCGGAGTCGATGCAGCCACGAAAAATATTATGGGAGCTGGTTAGTAAATGCGGATGTTCGTAAATGCGGATGTTCATAAGTCGCTGAATGACTGTACTATATAGCCTAAACGCGTGTTCGATAAAGTAGCATTGGCCAAGGTTTTCCTGCAATTTTAAACTCCAGTCTTTTGACTTTTAAGATATATTTATAGGTGCAGCACCTCTGCAGAGTCTTGCTTTCATCACTGCTGGTGGAACAAGACTCCATTTGAGGGAGCTCTTGGGAGCCCCTCGAGATTGGAGGGTGTTTGTTTTATTCTCTCACATTGAATAATTGATTTGGACGAATAAATGTGCGTGTACAAATCGTACCCCTCCTCTCTGCTACATACGACTTGTTATTTGCCTAACTGTCATGGACCCGTTTTTACTGACATGCTTGTTCTTGAGCTGATTTGTTTGCTGGGAAACTGTTGTTCTTTATTTTATTGATTTGTCATTTTACTTACCCCAAGTACTCTTGCAAATAATACAACTTAGCTATTTCGAGTTCTCATTGGTTAGACAAAATACACTTGATTATAGAGGCGTCGGTGCAGGGAGAATGAATCGAACTGGCGACCTCTGGTATTGCAAGTCCAGTGTACCAACCATTATGCCATAGTATCATCTCCTACGTAAAAACAAAAAGCGCTCACACTGTTTGTTTTAATTTCTACAGCTGCTATCTCGTGCTATTATGGGAGCAATGATTTTGGAGTTCAAGAAATACCCATGACTTGCGCAACAGGGTTGGATGCTTGTGCTACTTTCAAATTCACAAGTAAGTTTACATTTCTAAACACCTTAACAGAGACAACCGCACATTTCATCAACAACCGTTGTCAATCCACCGCTGGATGAAGGCCTCTCTACACCCGTCGCCCATCTCTGGTGATTCCAGAATGCAACAATCCACCGAGTGCCTGCAGACACTCAGATCTCGTCATTCCACTCGATGAACGCGTTCTATCCCTTGGCTGCCACTGCATTGTCCTCGACCATCGCCCATCACTCGTTTCGAGTATTAACGTGTCCTGGCCAAGTCCACTTGCTTCTCCAAGTAATGAATTACAACTAGAAAGTGCGCACTGAAGCGTCGAGAGATGCATTCCTTGTGGGGGGGGGGTGTATCTGACAAGGCACACACTGAAGTCTGGAGCCACCATGATTTATTAACACTTTTAACAGGCTTACAAGTTAACCATACTCGGGGTTATTCTAGACCCCAAAAAGGGAGAGGGGTCCCTGTCTCACTGTGTCCCTACCACCGACGTTCTCCGGCTCCTCCCAATGCGCGTCCTCTCTCTCTCTCCGACGGGACCCCGCTTCGTGGACCCGCTTCTCCGATGCGTCTCCGTCGGCCCCCATCGACAGATACAGAGGGAAAATAGTATTTGATCCCCTGCTGGTTTTGTACGTTTGCCCACTGACAAAGAAATGATCAGTCTATAATTTTAATGTTAGGTTTATTCGAATAGTGAGAGACAGAATAACAACAAAATCCAGAAAAACGCATGTCAAAAATGTTATAAATTGATTTGCATTTTAATGAGGGAAATAAGTATTTGACCCCTCTGCAAAACATGACTTAGTACTTGGTGGCAAAACCCTTGTTGGCAATCACAGAGGTCAGATGTTTCTTGTAGTTGGCCACCAGGTTTGCACACATCTCAGGAGGGATTTTGTCCCACTCCTCTTTGCAGATCTTCTCCAAGTCATTAAGGTTTCGAGGCTGACTTTTGGCAACTCGAACCTTCAGCTCCCTCCACAGATTTTCTATGGGATTAAGGTCTGGAGACTGGCTAGGCCACTCCAGGACCTTAATGTGCTTCTTCTTGAGCCACTCCTTTGTTGCCTTGGCCGTGTGTTTTGGGTCATTGACATGCTGGAATACCCATCCACGACCCATTTTCAATGCCCTGGCTGAGGGAAGGAGGTTCTCACCCAAGATTTGACGGTACATGGCCCCGTCCATCGTCCCTTTGATGCGGTGAAGTTGTCCTGTCCCCTTAGCAGAAAAACACCCCCAAAGCATAATGTTTCCACCTCCATGTTTGACGGTGGGGAAGGTGTTCTTGGGGTCATAGGCAGCATTCCTCCTCCTCCAAACACGGCGAGTTGAGTTGATGCCAAAGAGCTCCATTTTGGTCTCATCTGACCACAACACTCACCCAGTTGTCCTCTGAATCATTCAGATGTTCATTGGCAAACTTCAGACAGGCATGAATATGTGCTTTCTTGAGCAGGGGGACCTTGCAGGCGCTGCAGGATTTCAGTCCTTCACGGCGTAGTGTGTTACCAACTGTTTTCTTGGTGACTAATGTCCTAGCTGCCTTGAGATCATTGACAAGATCCTCCCGTGTAGTTATGGGCTGATTCCTCACCATTCTCATGATCATTGCAATTCCACGAGGTGAGATTTTGCATGGAGCCCCAGGCCGAGGGAGATTGACAGTTCTTTTGTGTTTCTTCCATTTGCAAATAATCGCACCAACTGTTGTCACCTTCTCACCAAGCTGCTTGGCGATGGTCTTGAAGCCCATTCCAGCCTTGTCTAGGTCTACAATCTTGTCCCTGACATCCTTGGAGAGCTCTTTGGTCTTGGCCATGGTGGAGAGTTTGGAATCTGATTGATTGATTTCTTCTGTGAACAAGTGTCTTTTATACAGGTAACAAGCTGAGATTAGGAGCACTCCCTTTAAGAGTGTGCTCCAAATCTCAGCTCGTTACCTGTATAAAAGACACCTGGGAGCCAGAAATCTTTCTGATTGAGAGGGGGTCAAATACTTATTTCCCTCATTAAAATGCAAATAAATTTATAACATTTTTGACATGCGTTTTTCTGGATTTTTTGGTTGTTATTCTGTCTCTCACTGTTCAAATAAACCTATCATTAAAATTATAGACTGATGATTTCTTTGTCAGTGGGCAAACGTACAAAATCAGCAGGGGATCAAATACTTTTTCCCTCACTGTAAGTGCGCATTCACTAACCCGCTGTGGTAGTAGTCAGCATATATGCCACAGAGACACTTTTTACGTCTCTTCACTTGTAATTGCTCCGAAAGACAGAGAGAGGAACGTGCGTGGATTAGAGAACAGACTGCAGGTTAGAGACATGAGGACACAAGTGGCCTTAAGCAGTAACAGAGACGCTGGGCGGTAGTCGAGAAAAACCGAGTGTCAGCCAATGAATTGACGTTTCTGTGAGGGCGTACACAGAGGAGATGGAGCGATGAAATCTGCACACGTGCAGGGTGGATTGTTGCATCACACGACCGTGAGAGGTGGCGGTGTTTTGATGAAGCCGTCGCCCAGCAATTGATAGACCGTCGCGGATGACGACAAGAGATTAACTTAAATGTGTATTTTTTCTTTATTTTAGCTGCCACTAAAACGGGCATAGTATACGCGTGCACCAGTCAACAGAACTGCCAGAACCCCACTACCCACAAGACGACTCTGGAAAGTGCAATGCAAACCACCGGTTTCACCGGAAAAGCCGACAACATCGTGTGCTGTACAGTGAACAACTGCAATCGGCAAACTTCAGGTGAGCAAAACATTCCATTTACAAGGAGACTTCATGAAAATGTCAAGGTTTTGTGCGTGTGCACATGCAAACACACACACACCCACTCCGAGTGTGGGGGCTGTGATTCATTGCATCTCACAGAGGATCGATCCACTGAACAAAATAGATCCGCAGTTCAGTTACCAAGTTCGATTTCGCATTAGGAGTCGATGCAACCACGAACATGTTTTAAATCCTTTATATTAAGTTCGCTTGCTTGCGTGCTTGCTTGCTTGCTTACCACCGTGCAAATTTTTCGGTCGTTTTTTAACCCACTTCCCGTGATCCAATCGAGCTGACATTTTGCACACAGACTCGTTGTGCGAGACAATTAATGTTCGTAAAAAATTTTTTCAAAAATTGTACACTTTTTAGGCAAAAAAAATTATTTTACATTTATTCAAATAGAACTCATTCATGGCTTTGGCTGAACGTCACAGTGTAGGAGCCCAGAGCGTAACCCGTCCACAGGCCGTGGCGGAGTAGCGCAGTTGGTAGCGCCCTCGCTTCCCATGCCAAAGGTCGCGGGATCGATCCCCGCGTCCTCCACAGGCGAATATATTTTTAAATCCTTTATATTAAGTTCGCTTGCTTGCTTAGGATCGTGCAAATCTTTCGCTCGTTTTTTAACCCACTTCCCGTGATCCAATCGAGCTGACATTTTCCACACAGACTCGTTGTGTGTGACAATTAATTTTCGTGAAAACAAATTTCCAAAATTTTACACTGTTTAGGGAAAACAAATTAAATATTGAATTACCAATTGCTTAATACTGGCAGACAATCATCTGACCCATAGGTGGCAGCCATCTCAAGCCAGAGGACGAGAGGACTCTAGCCGCCACGCATATAAAGGATTTATAGTGAAAAACTTTGTTTTTACAGGTTTACTTGTTAAATCCTTTATATTAAGTTCGCTTGCTTGCTTAGGACCGTGCAAATCTTTCGGTCGTTTTTTAACCCACTTCCCGTGATCCAATCGAGCTGACATTTTGCACACAGACTCGTTGTGCGAGACAATGAATGTTCGTGAAAATTTTTTTTCAAAATGTTACACTTTTTAGGCAAAATTTTTTTATTTTACATTTATTCAAATATAACTCATTCATGGCTTTGGCTGAACGTCACAGTGTAGGAGCCCAGAGCGTGACACCTCCACAGGCCGTGGCGGAGTAGCGCAGTTGGTAGCGCCCTCGCTTCCCATGCCAAAGGTCGCGGGATCGATCCCCGCGTCCTCCACAGGCGAATATATATTTTTACATTTATTCAAAAAGAACTCATTCATGGCTTTGGCTGAACGTCACAGTGTAGGAGCCCAGAGCGTGACACCTCCACAGGCCCTGGCGGAGTAGCGCAGTTAGTAGCGCCCTTGCGTCCCATGCCAAAGGTCGCGGGATCGACCCCCGCGTCCTCCACAGGCGAATATATTTTTAAATCCTTTATTAAATCCTTTATATTAAGTTCGCTTGCTTGCTTAGGACCGTGCAAATCTTTCGGTCGTTTTTTAACCCACTTCCCGTGATCCAATCGAGCTGACATTTTCCACACAGACTCGTTGTGCGTGACAATTAATGTTCGTGAAATTTTTTTTGCAAAATTTTACACTTTTTAGGACAAAAATATTATATTTAATTACCAATTGCTTAATGGTGCAATGCAATCATCTGACCCATAGGTGGCAGCCATCTCAAGCCAGAGGACTAGAGGACTCTAGCCGCCACGCATATAAAGGATTTATAGTGAAAAACTTTGTTTTTACTGGTTATACTTATTATGGAAGCTGTTTAGTAAATGCGAATCTTTGTAAATGCGGGTGTTCATAAGTCGATGAATGACTGTACTATATAGCCGAAACGCGTGTTCGATAAAGCAACATTGACCAAGGTTTCCCAGTCTTTTGACTTTTAAGAGATATTTACAGGTGCAGCAGCTCTGCTGGTGCTTTGCTTTCGTCACTGCTAATGGAACAAGACTCCATTTGAGGGAGCTCTTGGGAGCCCCTCGAGATAGGAGGGTGTTTGTTTTACTCTCTCGAATTAAATAATTGATTTGTACGAATAAATGTTCGTGTACAAATCGTACCTCTCCTCCCTGCTACATACGACTTATTTGCCTCACTGTCGTGGACCCGTTTTTACTGACATGCTTGTTCTTGAGATGATTTATGTTTGCTGGGTTGTTGCTGTAATTTATTTGATTTATTTTTTAGTTACCCCGAGGACTCTTGCAAATAGTACAACTTTGATCTCTCAAGCTCTCGTTGGTTAGACAAAATACACTTGATTATAGATATGATGGGGCGTCGGTGCAGGGAGAATGAATCGAACTGGCGACCTCTGGTATTGCAAGTCCAGTGTACCAACCATTATGCCATAGTATCATCCCCTGTGTAAAAACTAAAAGCACTCACACTGTTTATGTTTGTATTTCTCCAGTTGCTAACTTGTGCTATATTGGGAGCAATACTTTTGGAAAACAAGAAACACCCACGACTTGCCCAGCAGGAATGGATGCTTGTGTCACTTTTCAATTCACATGTAAGTTTACATTTCTAAACGTCTTCACAGAGACAACCACACATTTCACCAACCGTTGTCAATCCACTGCTGGATGAAGGCCTCTCCACACCGGTCGCCCATCTCTGGGGATTCCGCAATGCAAAAACCCAACAAGCGCCTGCAGACACACTCAGAACTCTTCGCTCCACTCGATGAACGCGTTCCATCCCTTGGCTGCCACTCCATTGTCCTCGACCATTGGCCATCACTCGTTTCGAGCATTAACGTGTCCTGGTCAAGTCCACTTGCTTTTCCAAATATAGAATTTCAACTAGAAAGTGCGCATTTAAGCGTGGAAAGATGCATTGCTTGTAATTGCACCGAAGGACAGAGAGAGGAACGTGCGTGGATTATAGAACAGACTGCACGTTAGCGACATGAGGACACAAGTGGCATTAAGCAACAACAGAGACGCTGGGCGGCCGTCGAGAAAAAACGAGTGGCAGCCAAGGAACGAACGTTTCTGTGAGCACGTACACAGAAGACACGGACCGATGAGATCTGCTCACGTGCAGGGTGGATTGTTGCATAACATGATCGTGAGAGGTGGCGGTGTTTTTGATGAAGCGTTCGTCTGACAGTCGATAGACCTCCGCGGATGACGACAAAAGATTAACTTAAATGTTTCTTTATTTCTATTTTAGCTGGCACCAAAACGGGCAACGTATATGCGTGCACCACTCAACAGAACTGCCAGAACCCCATTACCCACAAGACGACTCTGGAAAATGGAATGCACACCACCGGTTTCCCCGGAACAGCCGGAAGCATCGTGTGCTGCACAGTGGACAACTGCAATCGTGCTGGGGCCGCTGCTACGGTTCACAGGGTCGTGGTCTCAATGTCATCCTCACCCTATCTCATTCTCCCCGTCTCACTCCTCCTCTCACGCGTCTTTGCCTAAATCCTAGGGATTGCTGGGAGCAGAAACGGGAGGTGAAATGTAAGAAAAGGCGTAAATATAAGAACATGTTTTTTTCCTTTTTGGGAATAAAACGGTTGTGTTAAGATGTTAAAACACCAAACTGAAACCTTTTGCAAGGAATCTTGTCTGCATTAGCCACATATACTTGTGGTGAACATGCAAAGAAAACAATTATATGCTCTGATACTCTGATAGTATATGATGCATTGTCTTTGAAACTGATTGATCCACAGCAGACAACTTTCTTTAGAGCCTAGTCTCAAACAGTGTGAGACAGAGGACGCCAATAGGAGAACATCACAAATACATTGCCACTGTCAGGACTATGAGAGCTCGGGGTGAGCAGCATCTTGTCTCCGACTTGTCTCCATCTTGTCTCTCATCTGATCTCCGTCTTGTCTCCAGTCTCGTCTCCCGTTTTGTCTCCCATCTCATCTACAATCTCGTCTCCCAAGGGACCCATTGCTGGTCCCAGGTCACGTGGTGTCCCCAGCCTCCAATAAGGAGGTGGCGAGGTTCAGCCCTCGTACAGTAACTCACACTGTACACGGATACTGTACTGTACAGTGTTGCACACTACATCAATTGATTTCGTTCCCTGCACTTATTGTACAAGCTATATTCAACAATATAACATATTTTACATAAAAATACTTCCAGTTTAATGTGTTGAGGTTGATGTTGGGTAAGATAATACAATGGTTGGGGGAGTCTCATATCCTGGCTTTCCCATTTGAGGTTGCGGATCGCGGATTTTTACGTTCGTGGCTATCCCCCCCCCCCCAAAACAACTTAACCCCCAGCCACGATGGGCAAAGGGTTTGCTGTGTACGTGTTAAGTATAACGTATACATGCCATCACATCCTCCGCATTTTCTTGGTTCTTTCGGTAAAGTCACGTAGAAGGGAAGTAATAAAATAATAAAAATAAAACATAATAAAATAATTCTCACGACGTTTCGGCCACAACGCAAGCAGCCGTCCTCAGGTGAAAACCAGGTCCGTCGAGGCGACAGAGTCTGAATGAAACAGCACACGAGCTTGGAGCATATATATATAAGCTGGGCGCCTTGACAAAGGAATTTGCATATCAAGAGGAATTTAGCATATTTATGGGAAATGCAGGAATGTGATTAGTACTACATATGCATGTGCATTATGCAGGATTAACAGCATCAAATGGAGCTGCAGTTGCTGCTGCTGCAGTTGCTGCTGCAGTTTCTGCTGCTGCTGCAGTTTCTGCTGCATCCTCCGCATTATGACACTCCCCACCCTCCCATCTGTGTTTCACAATCAAAGTTGGGGTGCGTCTTATAATCCAGTGGAGATTGTACAACTTCGCGTTGGGCACAAGTTTGGCATGCGTCTTAGTGTCTGGAGTCGTTTATATAAAGGGTGCAGGTAATAGGGTACCCATTAAAGGGCAGCATAGTTGAGACAAATTCACAGAACTGTCGCAGCCCTTTCATGAATACAATTTTGGATAAGGGGCCGTCCATAAATGACATCACGCACCTAGGGGGGGAGGGGGTGTTTGAGAAATGTGGCGTCACATAAATAAATATTAATTGAATACAATTGTTATAACCACTATTTTTGCTTAATTTTTATGATTAAGTATTTGATTATTTAAATTTACTAGGGTTACCTTTTATTCATTCCATGAATTAGCATTTTGCTTCTCCATGGGAGAATGGAGAAGCATACATAAAAAATGATTGTTATTAAACATTTTGATTCTCATGATTCTACCAGGGCTTTTCATTCTGTGGAATGAATATGTGATTGTTATAATTGTACTCTCCATTAACGCACTACAATGGCAATGGTTTAAAGTGATTTGAAGCATGTTTTATTTTCAAAATGGAAATATGGTTTTTGGGGGGAGGGGGGCCAGAGCATTGTGACGTCATATTTGAGGGAGGTCTGACTTTTTGTGACGCCGTGTGACGAGGGGGGGAGGGGGGGTCAAAAAAATGCCAAAATCGCGTGACGTCATTTATGGACGGCCCTTACGGACCTCACGATGCCATAGGGTGGCGAGATGCTAACTCCCTCGCCTGGTATGCAGGGGTCGTAAGTTCGATCCTCACCATGACGCCTGCTGTATATTTGAAGTTTGCATCTCTCTCTCCGTGTGGTCGAGTGGATTTTTCTCCGTTTAGATTATTTAGATCGTTTCGATTATTTTGCTGCTATAATTTTCCACGTGATAAGCCACTGCATTGAGCTATCATTTGTGATTGCCAGGTCACTTCTGAGAATGAACTATATAGCTCAGTTGACCTTACCTTTTAAAATAAGATTTTAAAAAATAGTTTTAGCTTGTGTATGCATGCATTAAGGAGTTATTTACGCCAGTCTAATTGTTACGGGAGATCTTCGTTTGAATAAAATGTATTATTAAAAGTTCACTAATATTTGTCGGTTGTTTCTGGGTGGCAAGGGTGGCACAGTGGTAACCAATCATTGCGTCCCACACTTAAGAAGTACCTCCAACTTCAATCCTCGAATGAGTGGAGAGGTGGTTACGTGACGTCATCTCTCATGGTTCGTGATGGCAGGTGTGCCGTGAGGGTACAAAAAGACGACCCTCTGCGACGGAGATAGATTAAACAATGCTGTGCCCGCGCAAACGTGCATTTGCAGGATTACTTGCACATTAAAAATAAAAACCTCTCAGCCTAAACCTCTCAGTCTGGGGTCACCGCGTTGGCGAGATGTTTGGGGGGGGGCAGGTGATTATTTTGAACCCAGGAACGTGGAGATATTTTTCCCACCAGTTCTGTTATTTGTGGAATGCTGTTCTGCCCCAACGCGTACGGCGAGGTCTGCCCCGTATTTGTTCATTCTCGTGGTGGAGAGCGAAATTATTTGTGCTCACGTCACTCCTGGCTGAAGATTATCCACGACAGAGAAAAACTAGAGAGAGTCGTCGGACTACTCATCCTATAGGTGTGTTGTGACATAGCATCGGTCACTTAGCAGCATAGCGCTTGTTGTTGACGGGAAAAGGGATCTGCAGTTACAACAGCCCTGACTGACAGTGGGTCACGTGATAAACCAGAGAGAGGGATGTAGCGGAAAGGCTACAGAAGGGGCACGTGAGGAAAGCCCGGGAACCCGCTAGTAGATTCTTTAAAGGGGGCGTGGCCAAGGCAGATCGAAACCAGGCTGGGAGGATAAAAGGGGGCCCCCGAGCAGGAGCTCGGGGCTATCATTTGGAGTGGGATCCCGTCAGGGAAGGCCCACGGATGTATGTAGCTCTTTTTCAATAGCGACCTGGCTATCACAAATGACAGCTCAACTAAGTGGCTTATCACGTTGACATTTATAGTAGCCAAATACTCAAAATGCTTAATGTTGATTCCAAATGTGGAGGAGAAAACTGGAGGACCCGGAGAAAAATCAAACTCCAAATATGCAACAGGCGTCAGGTCGGGATCGAATCCACGACCTCCTGTATACCACGTGAGGTAGTTAACATCTAACTCGCCACCGTGGCCACCACGTGATGGCAAGTGTCGAGCCAGATAATTTCTTGCACGCACTCGCGCTCGTGAGAACGAGGAAGTTCGCACAAAAGATATATTACACACCAGGCAAATACCACATTTCATCATGTCAGACAAGACAGGCTCCTGCCTCGTCCTCACGTATACAGTGGTATAAATACCAATGGCAAAAAAGAGCACTCTCCGTCAATGGTATTTTCCCCCTAGCAAAATATCAGTCATGGTCAGCCAGCAGCAAGTCACCGCTGAACAATGGCCTCTGCAAATCGCACTCTAATCTATTCCTAGATTATTCGGCGATGTGACAAATGCTCACCCAGCACCTGCCACACATGGCGTGACTTCGGTGCCCCATTTCCTTCAGTTGGGCCGTCCTCTTGGATGCATTCCTTTGGCTGCCACTCAACATCGTTGACCATGAACTATGTATGTATGTGTGTACGTATGTATGTCTATGTATGTATCTTTATATGTGTAATGCGGTTGTAAACGGCCCTTCTGAGGTGCCGTCAGGGGGGGAGGAGTTAGGTCACGTGGGGGGCAGAGGGGTTGAGTATAGAAGGAGGGGAACCGGAAGAGCAAGGGGAGTGACGGGGAACCAGGAACAGAGGAAGGCCACGAAGGGCGAAGCGGGGTGTGGCGAGATCGCCACGAACACGGGGAGAGCGAGGATCGGCACCGTTGGCCAGCGGTGACCGACCCGAAGCAGCGAGGAGGCTGCAGTCAGCAGCGGGGCTGCACAGAGAGGGTGGGCAGCGGGTCTGCATACAGTGACAGCCAGAGGGTCTGCACATAGGGGTAGCAGCAGGAGTCTGCATAAGGGTAGAAGCGAGTCTGCAGGGAGGAGGTTACAATAGATGAAGCAGAGAGTCAGAGGGGAGAGGAAGCTATAATAGCAGTGAATAGCCGGGGGCTACAAATACAGGAGTTATAACAGAGTGCCGTGTGGGTAAAGACGTGAACCTGAATAAAGACACGAAGACAGAAAGAAGTGTTCGAGTCCTTTTATTACACTGGAGTCAGAAGTGAAACGGCATGGCGAAACAACTGAGGAAGAAGAATATCCCATCTCCGGCGTCGGCTTCATCATCGGACGACGACGATCTTCCTCCTGAGGTCGGCTTCACTTCGGCGGAGGGAGACATCCGTGAGGGCCCGGGTGTGGAGGAGGTTGCCGCTGCGTCCGACCCATCTGCGTTGAAGGACGAAGGTTTAAGATGGACCCGGATGGCGGAGCAACTGGCGACCCTAAAAACCGTCATCACGGAGTTGTGTGACCTTGTCACGCCAAGGGCGGCGTTGGTAGGTGATGGTGGTGATCGGCAGGAGCCCGGGTCGTCTTCGATGGCGCCGCCATCGACCACGCGGCGTGAAGACGCCATCTTGGGCGTGGCGCACCACGGAAGGCGGGAAGCCGCCATTTTGGGGCCGCCACGAGGATCGTCCGCCATCTTGGCGACACCGCGTTGCGACGCCTTGCTGAACTTACCGCCGGAAGAGTCGGTGACGGACGGAAGCAGGCCAAGGAGCCGCAGTCGTCACCTTACAACTGTTAAGGAGTTCTCCATCGGGGGCGATTGGAGTGCGTTCGCTTGTCGATTTTTGGCGGCGGTACGAACGGCAAGGTGGACGGACGCCGAGGCGCTGGAGGTGCTTCCGACTCTCCTTGACGATGAGTCTGTTCGTTTTTTTCGCTCTATAAAAGCTGCGAAGAAGAAAACATTGCGTGGAGTGTTCGACGAAATGGCGGACGCGTACGAGCCACCGGATGACGCCCATCGCCGCTTCGTGCAGCGGCAACGCGCACCGGAGGAGTCGCCTGTAGCGTACAGGGGCGCCGTGCTGGAACTCGCGATGGCCGCTTACCCGGAGACGGAGCCTGACCTGCTGGAACCTCTCATCTTGGGGAAGATGTTAGAGTTATCCCGGGATCTGGGCATTCCTATGCCGGCGTGCGGTCACGAGAAACTCACGTCCCGGACCGCGGCCAAGTGTTTGGACGCCCAGTTCAATCTCCGCCGCTGGAAACAAGTCACGGCGTGGACGGGCGGTCCTGTCGTCGATGGGGGGGCCGTAGGGTGGGACCCTACAAAGGCCGTGTACGTGCCGGATGCGACCGGCCCAAAGGAGCTGTCGGCCGCCTCCACTCCGTGGCCGGCTCGAAGCGGGCCGGGGCCGCGGGCTCCGCCGCCGGCGCGGCCACGTCGGGACGGGGTGCCTGCTGCGCGCCGACCCGACGTCGACTGTTTCCGTTGCGGCCGTCGGGGCCACTATGCCAGGGACTGCTGGGCCCGGGTTCCGGGGCCGCCCCAGCAGGAGGCCTCGATCGCGGACGTCCCAAAGAAAGACCCTCCGGCACAGGCAAGTCGGTGCGCACCAGACACCCGGCAAGGCCTGACACCTCACTCATCGCCGTTGTTGTGCGACGCGGATGTTCTAAAATATGGGAGGCCAGTATCTGCGCCTTGTCGCTCGATAACGCAGTGGCGTAAGTTGGCTCGGCGGGTTGTCGCGGCCGCTACAGGTTCGTCCACTGTACCGGGGTCGATCCAAGGGGTGGACGTGCGTATTTTGGTGGATTCCGGGGCGTCCGCGACCATTATTTCGGATGTTATATTTCATCTTTTGAACATCCCACCGGGGGCCGTGAGGCCGGCTTACGCTTCCTGCATCGCTGCGAACGGGGGTAGTATGGGCATCGTGGGACAGGTGGACGCTAATATTTCTATCGGGGGGGTCTCGGCCTCGGGCGTTGTGTTAATTTCGAGGTCCCTGGCGGTTCCTTGCTTGTTGGGCACGGATTTTTTGGCTAAGATGCCCATTCTAATTAGAATCAATGAAAATTGCATTGAACTACCAGGGGGCCGCAAATTGGCGTTTTTACAGTCCACCTGGGGGCGACCGGCTCCGGTTGCCCAGGTGCAGGCGTTATCGGAAGTTTCAGTTGATATTCCACCTGGCTCGCAGATGCTCATTCCCCTACGATACCGGAAGCCGGTTCCGGGTCGGCAGGGTGCTTGTGGAATTTTGCTGTCGCCGTCCGCCGCTGTTACGGGCGGCTTGGCACTGGTGGGGGCGCAAACCATTGTCCGTCCGGATCAGCGCCCGTTTTTGCAGGTGTTAAATGCGAGTTCTGAAAGCGTGTGTGTGCCGGCTGGTACCGTTGTGGCACACGCCACTACGGCGTTTACGGCTCAGAGTGACATTCCGGACGGGGGGCTGGTGGGTGGTGTTTCACACGACGGAGGGGTGGACGATCGTTGGATCGCCGAATTATGTGCGGAAAATTCGGCCCTTTCCGCTGAGCAGCGTTGTGCGATTCATAAATTATTAGCGAGCTATTCCGATGTGTTTAGCTCGGACGATTTGGACTTGGGACGCACCTCGCTGCTCTCTCATCACATCGAAACGGGGGACGCGGCCCCTATCCGCTTGAACTCGCGTCGGATGAGTCCGGCTGAGCGTGAGCACGTTCGAGGGGCAGTGGAAGACATGTTGAAAGCGGATATTATATCTCCGTCTAATAGCCCGTGGGGCGCGCCTGTTGTGTTGGTTAAAAAGAAAGATGGTAAATTACGATTTTGTGTGGATTTTCGGAAGTTAAATAAAGTATCGGTGGCAGATGCGTATCCCCTGCCGCGTATGGACGATTCTCTCGACGCCTTGTCAGGGGCTAAGTTTTTTTCAACGCTAGATCTCTCTTCGGGCTTCTGGCAGCTTCCCCTTGACGAGCCCTCGCGGGAAAAGACAGCGTTCCGTACGCCGCAGGGGTTGTTCCAATTTAACTGTCTGCCGATGGGGTTGAATGCAGCCCCTGCCACCTTTCAGAGATTGATGGAGTTGGTATTGACGGGGTTGCAGTGGGAGACATGTCTCATTTATTTAGATGATATTATTGT